CGATGCTCATGATGTCAATCATGGTCTGGTCCAGACATTAATATATACAGACCGCAACCATACAGCTGGAATATTGAAACATTGCAACAAAGAAAGAAAGAAACAAAACCATGTTTTTTTCCAACGATTACCACCCAACACCATACCACACTTACATACTGTTTGTTTGTTTGTTTAACGCCGCTATAGCTAGACCGTGTTTGATCATCCAGGTCAGTCGGCTGTAGCTAGACGTTGTTTGACCATCCAGGTCATTCGACTATAGCTAGACCGTGTTTGACCATCCAGGTCAGTCGGCTATAGCTAGACCGTGTTTGACCATCAAGGTCAGTCGACTATAGCTAGACCGTGTTTGACCATCAAGGTCAGTCGACTATAGCTAGACCGTGTTTGACCATTCAGGTAGGTCGGCTATAGCCAGGCGTTGTTTGACCATCAAGGTCAGTTGACTATAGCTAGACCGTGTTTGACCATCAAGGTCAGTCGACTATAGCCAGGCGTTGTTTGACCATCAAGGTCAGTCGACTATAGCTAGACCGTGTTTGACCATCCAGGTCAGTCGGCTGTAGCTAGACGTTGTTTGACCATCAAGGTCAGTCGACTATAGCTAGACCGTGTTTGACCATCCAGGTCAGTCGGCTGTAGCTAGACGTTGTTTGACCATCAAGGTCAGTCGACTATAGCTAGACCGTGTTTGACCATCAAGGTCAGTCGACTATAGCTAGACCGTGTTTGACCATCCAGGTAGGTCGGCTGTAGCCAGGCGTTGTTTGACCATCAAGGTCAGTCGACTATAGCTAGACCGTGTTTGACCATCAAGGTCAGTCGACTATAGCTAGACCGTGTTTGACCATTCAGGTAGGTCGGCTATAGCCAGGCGTTGTTTGACCATCAAGGTCAGTCGACTTTAGCTAGACCGTGTTTGACCATCAAGGTCAGTCGACTATAGCTAGACCGTGTTTGACCATCCAGACCGTGTTTGACCATCCAGGTCAATCGACTATAGCTAGACCGTGTTTGACCATCCAGGTCAGTCGGCTGTAGCTAGACCGTGTTTGACCATCAAGGTCAATCCAGGTCAGCCGGCTGTAGCTTCACCTCGCTAGCAAACGACATCGTGCCCACGTGAAACTATTCAATCGTTATGCGCATGTGTGAATGAATTATGTTTTAGGGCGTTTTAGTCACATTCCAGCATATCTCGGCGTATTACATTTAAACAATGCTCATAATTCTATAAAGTTAACAGGTTTATTTTTTGTTCACAGTTAATAGCAGCAGTTAATATGTAAGAAAGCTGAGCTATTATTATTATTATTACTAATATTTTTAGTATACGAGTGAGTGTACAGCAATTTGCCAGCTATATCACGGCGGCAGTATATGCAGATCTGGTCAAGACAAACCAGTGTTTGAACGCATGATCAACGATCCACGTCATGGGGATAAACACAATGAGCAGTCACAGAGTCTCCCTCCCGAAACCCAACAGGGTCAGGGGCGGTCGGGTAGCCTCGTGGTTAAAGTGTTCGCTCGTCACGCCGAAGACCCGGGTTCGAATCCCGACATGGGTACAATGTGTGAAGCCCATTTCTGGTGTCCCCCGCCGTGATATTGCTGGAATATTGCTAAAAGCGGCGTAAAACCAAACTCAGTCACTCACTCACCAACAGGGTCATCCTACACTAAACAGCGTTTTTGACGAAAGTAAAATGTGCAGAGCTGTTAATACAAACGAGAAAAGTGTAGTAATGTTTTTATTAATAACGCAAAAAATTATCTTAAGGCGCCTACGAATGCCAAATCAAAATATAAAAATATGTTTCCAGTTCTATTAAGGACACATGGAAATGAATCAGTTTTTTTCGTAACAGATAATCACGATTCTGCAAATTGCAGAAACCTGGCTGAATGATGAAGATGTAAGACGCGGTGTGTCAGCTGCAGGATAAAAATAATATTACCTAATATAGCGGCCATAAAATCAACTGTTATTACCAGAGACGTACAATTGGGGTATAAAGCCTCTGATTGACCAATCAGAATCGAGTAATTTCCAAAGTCATGGAATACGCATTCAATCAACTGGCCCATACACACATATACGATCTAATAAAGTTTCGTCATAGGCGCATACCTCAATTTTAACCACCACCACCACTCCTCAGTAAACAACACATAGTGATCTAACGGTACGTTGCGAAGTCTTGTGCATCCGCCTTAGCCGCTTCCTTTGGCCATTCAGGCCTAACGCGTCCAGGTCGTTCTCTGTGTAATAAGCTATGTACATAATCCCATCATGTATTGTTAAATCGAGGGGTAATTGTTCTAAGAAATCATAGGTCACAGAGCTAGGGAGTCTCCTCTGTATTTCCATTAAGTTATTACCAAAAACCTCCCCACTGCTTTCATCAAGCGCTAGCAATTGGTTATCATCAAGAAAACGCTCAGTTATTGTTTTTTCTACCGACCTGGTGTTATTTTGTAATGCGATCACTGTCAACGATTGTTGACGCTGGAACAAAGCCCACGTGTACAGTCTCCCACGTGTCCCATCAATCAACAGCCCACGGAGAGGCGCGCGCACACCGTCAACGCCCTGTACATTGAACTTCCTCTTCCGGTCAGATCCATTGTGCGACACAATGAAACAATCTGCAGTCGTATCAGCTCCATGTGATATGTCTATGGAGCAAATGTCGTCGCCGACGTTGTTATGATGCTGTATAAAGTACAGTACCCTGTTTACAGAATCCACTGCCAGGTATTTGCCTTCTCCAGAACAGCTCCACGCTTTGATTTCCTTTTTCGTTTCTAGACTAGTCTTGTAGATCGAGTCGGCTGTTATGTAATATATATCCTGAAGTTTCGGGTCATACGTCACGTCGACCACGTTGCGACGACCAATTCCAGATCTGTGAACTTTCGCCGTCTTCAAATCAACTAATCTGAAGTTTTTCCTGTCCGAATCCACCACAAGCAACGCTGGGGACATTTTAGGCTGTTCCGACGTCGTTGGATTCGTTGTGGTCGGGGATGACGTTGGAGAGGTCGAAGTAAACAGTTCGAAGTCGTCGCCATTTTGACAAGGACGATCACACCTTCCCTGGTTAGCTACACCGCTCCAGTCAGCGTCCATCTTGGCGGGGAACATCCTCCTAATTTCATCCAAAATGTCCTCTTTCAGTTGGGCTTTCAAATCCGCCTGCAGCGCCTGTCGCAGGTCTGCCATCACGTTGTCTAACCTCTGAGTGATCATTGTGTTCACCTCTGATATTATCTCCGCCTTCAGGACTTGCTCTGTGATTGTATCATCAGTAAGTTTATTCGTATTTCCAGTGGACGCAGTAACACACACCACAACGTATATTATGTATAACTGCCCGTACGTCATGATAGAAATGCTCGATGACCGGCTTCCTTGCTGATGTTCAACTGTGTGACAAATTAGGACCCAAAGATGCAAGCACCTCTTATCTGGTGACATTTCAAGGTAGCTGAATTACAATGCAACGTCGCCACAATCATATTAACGCCACTCAGATCTCGTCGGCTTTTTCCGTTGCTCTGGCGTTAAGTTTGTCCCAATTCTGTTCTGCCGAATGAATACTTTATTACAGCGCAAGGTCCATAACGACTCACGACCGGCCTCGTAAAAACTGAAGGTCTCCCCATCGTCCAAATGACAAAAACATTGCCAGACCCAAATTAACACTATAAAAGTAACTGTGAAATATATTTGTAAGTAAAATACACGGTGACTGCTAATTGCAACGGACATGTCATCAAAATTGTAACAAACCTCCCTTATGCTAAGCCTAAGGACCACACGCTATTTATGTTAAATTTCGGGTGAATAACGTAGAGACTATAAATGATTTTGAATCCAGTGATAATTTTCTTTCACACGGATCACCAGCGGGATGTGGCCTATCACACCTTTTACGTACGCTTCTGACACTTTGTTCTGGTACTTTGACATGCCACCATTTTTCCCTTTTGGTTTTGGTTTGGTTTGTTGTTTTACGCCGCACTCAGCAATATTCAAGCTATATGACGGGCGGTCTGTAAATAATCCAGTGATTAATATTATGAGCATCGATCCACGCAATTTGGATCGATGACATGCATCAACCAAGTCACCGAGCCTGACCACCCGATCCCGTTAGTCGCCTTTTACGACAAGCATAGTCGCCTTTTACGGCAAGCATGGGTTGCTGAAGACCTATTCTACCCCGGATCTTCAAGGGTCCCGTTTGGAATCAGGACCATAGGATCCTAGCTCGCGAAAGGGATGAGACTCTCCACAGCGAATGGCATCTCCTTGGACTAATGGGCCACCCGTGCCCCCTTGAAAAAAGATCTTAATGTCATGTGGTCTCCCTTGAAAAATGATCACACGTCATGTGGTCTATACTGTGAAATCCAGGAGCGCGGCCATACTGCTAATAGACCAAGTCACAACCAGCGGGTGTTAAGAACACTGAATGTTTCTTGATGAAAGTCAATTTCTGCTCGAGGGGACAGGTCACCGTTTCCGAAAATAATAATTCGGTCACGATTTCAAAGGGATCACTCAAAGGAATTCTATACGCCAACGCCAGATAATACTCAGTGTATAGTATTTGCCGAAACAGATTCAATGGGGCTTAGCAAATAAAATAAAATATATGTTGAAAAAAAGTGATGATACCAGATGACATCGCATAAATATTATTCTCCCGAAAACGTCTAGGAATCTAACCTAATACAAAACGAGACCCGTCGAGCGTTTTATTGACGCATGTTACTTCAGTAGGTCAGCTGCGGCGAATTTATATCATCGAGAATTTATTTCATCTTAGGATAAAATATCTAAGACGGGTGTTGGTAAAAAGATGCCGGCGAAACGAAACAACTACTGATTTCTGTTTTAGATCTGGAGTCCTTATTCATAGTACATTTTCGATGAAAAAAAAGTACACGGTTTTAAGAGTAAGTGATTAAGGAAGGCATTGGTATAAATGTTTTGAAATATATTTTATTATATGAAGCCAATCGGACATGAAGCCGTAGCCCCAGCAGTGTCACGTACAACGGCTGATAATAACAGATATAAGGCCGAGGGGATACTGTGGCGGCAGCTAACTTTTACTATGTATGCAGAAACCAGCCGAGTAGGTTATTTAATATTGTGCTTAAACCTTTATACACATTCAGATAGCACCGGGCCTGGTACGTGAAATCTGTGGATAAACACAAGCAGAGGAGGTCATTTAAAGAAAGTCATGGATCGTTATCTAAAAACTGGAAGACCTTGGATAACACGTGACCTTCATATGTCACAACGGTATTCTGTTTTATACGCGACATCCGTCTTACTACTGCACTTCATCATCTTTGTTCAATGTACTCGCAATATAAAAATTTAAGGACATCACAGTGATGTTAAGGTGAGCAAGTAATGTAATCCTCGTTTTGGGATAACAACGCTTTGAAAGAGTGCTCGCTCCACTTCTGGTCAAAAGTTAGAAACAAACACATGTACTTCAGGCCTAAAATACAGCCAGATAATGTCGCTTGTTGAGTGAGTATGTTTTACGCCGCTTTTAGCAATATTCCAGCAATATCACGGCGGGGGACACCAGAAATGCCGTCACACATTGTACCCAAGTTGGAGATCGAACCCGGTCTTCGTCGTGACGAGCTAACGCTTAAAACCACTAGGCTACCCATCCGCGCCTGTTAACTGTTGAGTCGTGGTGTGACTCGTCCCGTGTCAGTGGCCAGTCTGATTAAAGTCGTTTATTCATGTTTTATGTCTGATTACTCAATATTTATGAACTACAGTTTCTTGGAACTCCGAGAGACCGGAGAAACAGATTGACTTATCTGGAGTTCGACACATTCGACTCGACATTATTATCGATCACATTACAGTCCACGGCAGAACGACCTTTCGCGAACCGACCAATGAAATGACTAATAGGAAGTCGACATTAGTCAATCAGAAAGCAGCTTTCTCAAGCTGTACGGCACGTTTTCGAACTTGCGACTTCCATTCCAGTCTATGCTTTAACAATATGTTGACAAAGTTCTCGATTCAAAATTTGAAAACTGAACAAAAGAACATTCTGGAGTGTCAAATAGACATTGTATGACAGTTCTTCCCACGGGCTATGAAAATGGTCTATCCCACTGAAGCGTGGGATAGCGGATGATTTTGACGGAATCAGTCGTACCGTGAGGCCGTGACTGTCGTTCGGAATACCCAATGTTAACCTTTTCGAAGATGCAAGATCAGAAAACATTCTGACTTACACTTGCATGATATGGTAAGCGACGCTCTGATTGGTCGGATGAAAGGTCATCTCATGTATACTGTAATGGGATGTCTCCAGAACTTTGTTTAGCGGCAGCGAGAACTAAGATCTGATATTAATCCAAAATATTAAAAAATATAAATCCCCCCCCCCCATTTTTTGTAGACATCATATGGAACCTACGAATTTTAATTTATGTTGTAATTCTTGAAAAGTACGGCAGTTCGTGAAGTTCTGCCCGATAGTCTCGGTACCATTGAGCTCCCTCGACCTGCTGTTTCCGGAGCTCGTCAAACCAAGTGCCTTCTGGGAGGTAAACATCACGTGACGTGGCCCCTTTCTCTACTACTGGTGCTACAAGCAAGTCGTTGCCAAGGAGATATTCGGAATCAACAGTTAGCGCAGCCTCGTCTTGAGGAGCTATCCACCATATCGGACGAATAATTGGTTCACCAGTTCTTACCGAGTCTTCAGCAAGTTTTATAATTGTTGATGTGTAATTTTCGTGAAGCTCCGCGAAATATCGCGTGATTTCAACGACAGTCTCGTTGTTGTAAACCCAAGGAACGACCGAGAACTGAAGCGATGGGAGGAAGGTGTTGAGCTGCATCCATCTTATAAACAATTCTTCATCCGGGTAATTACGTGCCTCTAAACCGGAAGAGTTGTCATAAGCATTTCCGCCAATCATGTCCGGTAGAATAAACGGGTACCCAATCAGCCCCATGGTAAGTGCACAGGGAATAAGTGTCTTCAAGCCATTGTTGTTATCCCAGACGGAATCTTTGTCCAGCATGCGCACAAATATGGGTACATTCTGACTTCCGGCCCCAACCCTGACCTCTTGGTGTCTTACATCAGGGTCAGTGCGGTAGGCCAGGTCAACCCATTTTCTCGTGTACTCGTTCGGGTTTAGGTAAGTTCTATTCACACTGTAAATATAGGGAAGCCATGCTACCTCGCCGGCGTCAAACTTGAAGGAGCTAATGTTGTAGGTGTCTTTCAGAAAGTTGGTCTTATTGACGTACCAGTCCACGGCATACGGGTTAGTGACATCGAGTGTACCCGACAGTTGACCCCGCCACCAGGATGTCAGAGCCGGAAGTTTGCGCTCTGGGGCTCGAACAAGGTAACCCAGTGCGGCTGCTTCATAAAAAGCGCGAGAATCGATATTAAAGAAAGGGTGAAGCCAAATGGTCACCCTGAAGCCGTCTTGATTGAGTTGTGAGATCATCCCTCGAGCATCCGGGAACTTGTCTGTTGTGAAGTCCATGTCACCATAGAAAGTAGTCCAGTCGTCATCAATCTCAAGCTGGGAGTGACTGAAGCCGTTGCTGACGATGTCGTTAGCCAGCTGTAGGACCTGTGTCTGGTTGATGTCTTTCTTGTACATGGCCCACGTTGACCAGATAGGGGAACGGAACAGGCGGCGATCAGGGACGCCTTCAGGGCGGGGAATGTACTTCGCGGACATGTAGTCATGAACCACCCGGATGTTGTTGGCTTGACACACAGTGTAGGAGAGACGTGGTGGTTTGTTGTCGATGTTGATGTAAGGCGAGCGTTCAAACTTGGCCGACATACACATTCGTTTACTGCTTTTATCGTTGAAACTAAGATAAAGGGGAATATTTGAATCAATGAATATACCTAAACCAGTGGATGATAGGAAGTATCTCTCCAATACACCGCCGTATTTCTTGGCGTAGGAATCCGTCGCAACATAGGCCGCCATTTCCTGTTGTATCTCATTCATCGGCCAGTATTGGTGGTAGTCCTCAAATCCCCCAAACCAGTGACCACGTGACAGATCAACACAATCCTTCAGTTCCTGTGACACACAGTTGACAGCCTCCCACGTGACATTGTAGCACGTGACCTGGTCACTTGCCGTCTTGTATATCTCCAACTTCCGGTCTCTTTCCCACGAGACACATACGTCCGACGCGGTGTTGCATTCCTCATGGCCGATGTCGCTCCTGTCTAAGCCCATGTAGATCTCCCCGGTGAGCACGCCGTTATGGCGTATTTTCATCTGCATCGTTTCCTGTTTAGAAAGAAAGACCCTTTTTAGCACACGAATAAACATAAATTGAAACACTTTGAAAATAAATTTACATATTCAATTTTTTGTAAAATGGCAAAATGGCCACAAAAATCAAATTAATTTGTTCTGTGTGGTTAGGCATGAGGAAATCAAACACAACAGTGTCGACGTACGGGTTCGAATCTCATTCCAAGTGTTTCAGAATGGACTTGAGCACAGAAACACGCGTAATGCTTTAAAACTTGATTATGCGTTTTAATTGTGTGTCAGTATGTCTATTTAACTATTATATGTTATAGTCTTCCCTTTTAGCTCTTTTTAATTTTTGTTTTTGCAGGTCTTAAGCGGTTAGAGATTATACCAAACAAATGAATGTAGTTTTACGCCGCCTTTATACAATATTCCAGCAATATCACGACGGGGGACTCCGGAAATGGGCTTCGGACACTGTACCCACATGGGGAATCGAACACGGGCCCCCAAACTAATGAGTATTATGAATACAATACCTTTTAGAAACAAGTGTTATATTTTGGAAAACACCTTCCTAGTAAAGTACGTTTTTGGCTTGAGTCCCATCGGGGATTCAAACCCACACTCTCAGAGTAAGGCACACAAACTCAGCGATCTTACCCACTCAGCCACCGAGGCTTCCACAAAATCTGTTAAGACTAGATCAGGTGCTTCGTGAGTGAGTAAGTGAGTGAGTTGGGGTAAAAACAGCTTTCAACACTATTCCAGTTATATCGCTTTATGTGGGAGGAAAGCACGAAGTGATTCAGGCAACTTCGGTGAAACCCACGAGCACGGGTATGGTGCTGACAAACCTAGAAACATAATCCGGGCGAACCGTGATTCGAACCCACAATCATAGGTTTCTGGCGTGCCCAAGGGACGCAACTCTGCACAGCGAATCGCGGCGCCTCAGACGACTGGGCCGCCGTGCTTTGTGTACCTCTCTGATAAGTATAAATTGTCCGAAAGCTATGAATAGACAGTGGCTATTAATGAGACAAGGCATGACAAATTCGGTCTCGTGGTGTAGACGCCCATCCAACAGCTACAATCCCTCACAGCGAACGTAGATCACTTACAGTAAACTACGGTTATAACGAACTCAATGGGACTACTAATTTTAGTTCGTTATAGCCGTAGTTCGTTATAAGCATATATATAGCATAGCTACAGCAAATAGTCGGGACCAAAAAGTAAGTTCGTTATATCCGTCAGTTCGTTATAAGCGTGTTCGTTATAACCGTAGTTTACTGTATTTCCTCTGTGATGAAACCGACCTGAAGAAGTAGCTCAGCTTCTCCAATCTTGTACACGTCACGTGACGAGGGTGGCGTTCCTTCTTCTTGCTGTGTGCGCGCGACGTGCCACACCACGACCCCAGTGATGACTGCTACGACGACGACGGCCGCCAGAGCAAATATGAGGGCCCATCGTCCGCTGATCTGCTTGGTTCCCATGGTAACTGAAGGAGACATTGCGAGAGTAGAGTGAGTGAGTGAGTGAGTTTGATTTAATGCCGCTTTTAACAGTATTCCAGCTATATCACGGCGTGTCAGCTTAATGTGGGAGGAAAGCCCGAAGTGATGCAGGTCTCAGACGTTTACCACTTCGGTGAAACCCTCGAGTACGGGTATGGTGCTGACAAACCTAGAAACATAATCGGGGCGAACCGGGATTCGAACCCATACTCATAGGTTTCAGGCGTGCCGAAGGGACGCAACTCTGCACAGCGAATCGCGGCGCCTTAGACGACTGGCCACCCGTGCCCCCGAGATTACAGTGGGACCATCCTCTTGACTATAGATTTTTCCATCACAAGGGATAACTATTTCAAAACATCATCTATTAAAATACTGTAAGGGGCATTCTCGCGATCTCGCATACTCGTGTTTTGGGCATATTTAGCTCGTTTCCAAAGGTCGAGATCGCGAAAATGTCCCTTACAGTATTCCATAATTAAGGATTTTTTTTGTAGTATCAATTCTCATTTAATTATTGTTTTTTTAAAACAGAAATTGAATTGTTTCAAAACATTTGATTACTTTGTTTTGTAAAAATATGTCGTTTAAACATTGGTAGCTTAAATTAGCAGCTGAGATTGTTGGTGGCGGTATCCTTGAAGGGGTTAAGGTACTGTAAAATTATTGTCCCCCTGAGAGGTTACGTAAGCTTCATATCTTTCAAAGTAAATTTCGAACTACCACGTTTTTAATCGTAGAATATATGTCATTTTAATGTGTTAGGCCAACAACTGAAGGGATGATGTAAATCCTGCTGGGGTCCATGCGGGTAGCAAAAGTACTGTAAGTCCCCATGGTCCCCAGTGTGGTGGTCTACCTTCAGTTGGTGACGATCTCTATAATGTATTGTTATGTATAGTGCTACATACTACTACTACTACTACTACTACTACTACTACTACTACTACTACTACGACTACTGGTCCTGCTACTGCTGCTGCTGCTGCTGCTGCTACTCCTAAAACTGCTACTGCTACTGCTACTGCTACTACTACTGCTGGTGCTACTGCTACTACCACCACCACTACTACTACTACTGCTGCTACTGGTCCTGCTACTGCTGCTGCTACTACTACTACTACTACTACTGGTCCTGCTACTACTACTACTGCTACTGCAGCTACTACTACTGCTGCTACTACTACTACTGCTGGTGCTACTGCTACTACCTCCACTACTACTACTACTACGACTACTGCTACTACTGCTACTACTACTACTGCCACTACCACTACTTCTACTGCTACTAACATGTACCTTCAATCTGAAGCAGGGGCGGTCGGGTAGCCTAGTGGTTAAAGCGTTCGCTCGTCACGCCGAAGACCCGGGTTCGATTCCCGACATGGGTACAATGTGTGAAGCCCATTTCTGGTGTCCCCCGCCGTGATATTGCTGGAATATTGCTAAAAGCGGCGTAAAACCATACTCACTCACTCACTCACTCCATCTGAAGCATGTGTTTCAAGCATGACGTAAATATCGCGGGAATATGTGGCATCTGTGTGACACAGGTACACATGTCGACGTGCATACACTCTTACACATAACGAAAGACAAAATTATCAGCAATTAAGATTTAATATTTCGTAAAACTGCCTTATTTTCACCTGCTGTAGTCGATCTTACACGCCCAACACTGGGCTTAAGCATGTAGTTGATACCCCTTTCAAATGAACACATAATGAATTGTAGATCAAATGCAGAAATTTAAACGCCAAAAGAGAACACTTGCGTATGTCTCAAATTCATACTTTCATTACAAATATTGGAAAATTCCTATTTCATAAAACTCGCCTAGCTTGCTGAATGTATGTTACATTTTGTAAAAAGATTGTCGGATAAACGTACCTGTATTTTCCCGAATGAACTGCAGTACCTTGAACTGCTGTAGTCGGCTTCTCACGCCCCTGTACCTCAAAACATGTCGGTTCGCGCACCTGTCGCGCTATGTAACGGTAAACTCAGTCAATTGTGTCTTATGCCACTGAAGAACAGGAAACTGTGTCACGGTCAAACCAACAATGGCGACGATTGAGAATTATGCAGCCCGACCATATACACCGTTGTAAACATATAGAAGGGGGAGTGTAAACATACTGTTCCCTGGCTGTGTCATCCGAGATTATCCAGGGTAGTATCTCCAATCGATCAGGATAAATGCTCTGTTCCCATTCACCACCGCTTCGTTGTGTGCCAGATTCGAATGAAGACGATAAAAATTGCAGTCCAATCAATTTTCACATCTAAAACCAACCTCATTAAGGGAGTACCTCACGGATTATTTGGTTGTTGCGTAACGCAACATTCAGCAGTATGTCAACTTTGTGACGCCGGCCTGTAAATAACTGAGTCTGCACCAGAAAATCCAGTGATTGCTATCATGAGCAGGCTCGCTGACTTGGTTGATGCATGTCATCGAATTGAAATTGCGTGGATCGATGCTCATGATATCAACCACTGGATTGTCTGGTTCAGACTCGATTTTTTTACAGACATCCGTCATACAGCTGGAATATTGCTGAGTGCAGCGTTAAACAACAAACAAACAAAAGCAAGCCTATGTTAAGGTATGGGAGCTACGATAGCCGTGGCTCTTGTTTTGTAGGATGGGTCCTTGGAAAGAAGACATACCAGGAACTACAGTAAATGGTTCAAGGATGATGGTTCTGTTTGTATATTCAGAAAGAAGGAACCATGTACCAAACCTTATCACAGTGAGTGAGTGAGTTGGGTTTAACGCTGCTTTTAACAGTATTCCAGTTATATCACGGCGTGTCAGCTTAATGTGGGAGGAAAGCCCGAAGTGATGCAGGTCTCAGACGTTTACCACTTCGGTGAAACCCACGAGCACGGGTATGGTGCTGACAAACCTAGAAAGATAATCGGGGCGAACCGGGATTCGAACCCACAATCATAGGTTTCTGGCGTGCCCAAGGGACGCAACTCTGCACAGCGAATCGCGGCGCCTTAGACGACTGGGCCACCCATGTGCCCCCCAAACCTTATACTATAAATAGAAAAGGGCGACTACTTAAAATACTTCAAAAAAGGAAAGCATAATTAATGAGATTTTGGTCTTTCTGTCATCATATATTCGCAAACCTATACCACTGTAAATACTAGACGTAAACGTTGAAGGTGTTACTCCTACTAACAATAAGTTCAATGTTGAGCAACTTTAATGATAAATGTGACACTTGTGTTAGACCTGATTTTGGTTCGACCTTGGGCCAAATATTGGATGCAACAAAGTTACACCTTAAAATAAGTTCAACGTTTACTCTGGCTCAAGGTTCAACCTAATCGGTAACCTTTTATCCTGTGGTTGAACGTTTTCTGGGTATCCTTATATCCTGTGGTTGAACGTTTACTGAGTGTCCTATCCTGTGCTTCAACGTTTACTGGGTATCCTTATATCCTGTGGTTGAACGTTTTCTGGGTATCCTTATATCCTGTGGTTGAACGTTTACTGGGTATCCTTATATCCTGTGGTTGAACGTTTTCTGGGTATCCTTATATCCTGTGGTTGAACGTTTACTGGGTATCCTTATATCCTGTGGTTGAACGTTTTTCTGGGTATCCTTATATCCTGTGGTTCCTCGTTTACTGGGTGTCCTATCCTGTGCTTCAACGTTTACTGGGTATCCTTATACCCTGTGGTTCAAATATTCGAGCAAACTCGGTATCCTTGTATCCCGTGGTTCAACGATTACTGGATATCTTATCCTGTGGTTCAACTTTTACTGGATATCCTTGTATCCTGTGGTTCAAATTTTACTGGGTATCCTATTCCTGTGCTTCAAGGTTTACTGGGTATCCCATCCTGTGGTTCAAGGTTTACTGGGTATCCTATCGTCTGGTTCAACGTTTACTGCCGAGTGGGTATCCTATCCTGTGCTTCAACGTTGACTGGGTATCCTATCCTGTGGTTCAATTTTGACTTGGTATCCTATATCCTGTGGTTTAACGTTAACTGGGTATCCTATATCCTGTGGTTCAAGGTTTACTGCGTATCCTATCCTGTGGTTCAACGTTGACGAATCTGGCTTTGTGACGACACATGGTTGCATAATAACACAGAAAGAAATACTACGACATGTCAGTTCTGTATAAATCACGTGACAATAACAGAGCTAAATTCTAATTGTAGAACGTGTACGTAGAAGAGACATGCGAACAGCAGTGATCACAAACACAAGCTAACTAGCTTCATCGGGATTGTCGAGCTAAATCCATTCTACTACTTTTAGATGAACAACGTATCCAGAATTTAAAATACATGGTTCATGGAATACTAATTTTAGGGATGTGGCATACGCGCACATTCGTGGAGAACATATTTCCTTCAACGACATCAAAGGTTTGCAGGGCGTGTAATCTCCAGGAACTCTATGCCCAATAAGTGTGGACAATAGACAAAGAAGACTTCATGGGCGTGGGTTTTAATGACCACACTTTGGGGCATCTCTTGAGGCCAATCTGCTTCATCCAAAGCACCATAACACAAACTGTTAATTCTGCTATTCAAAAAATCCAGAGTGAAAAATTTCACTTCGCAGCATTAATTGTAGGACATTGTAGGACATTGTAGGACTATCATTTGTAGATGGCGACGATGATTTTTTAATATTTCTCCTTTGTAAAGATGACGTCTCAACACATTTAGAAGCATCTGTTCCAGTAGCTTAACAAAACGTACAGATTCTGGTAGCATGTCTGTTAAAGCACTGAGTGCATCCTCCCGGGAAATGACTTCACCAATTGTCTCCACAAACATACACAAGTCATTGTTTGACATTCTCTTCCAAACCAGGCACAACGGCAATCTCATTCTCTGCTATATATTTCATCTCTTCAACGAATGGTTGTAAAATACTTTCAAGCCCTAAGAACTGAGCATCAATACCACTGCATAACAAAACAAGCTGCAACCTTTGCAAGCTTGAACGACAATCTTTTTTTCTCTTTTTAGTCCTTTTTTCACTGACTCCTGCTTATTGACTTTCCCATTTAAGGATTCTAGACTTGAAAGGAAAATAAGTTACAGTAAAGTACGTTTATAACGAACACGCTTATAACGAACTGACGGATATAACGAACAGTTTTTTGTCCCGTCCATTTGCCGTAATTATGCTGTATATGTATATGCTTATAACGCACTACGGTTATTACGAACTAAATTTAGTGGTCCCTTTAAGTTCGTTATAACCGCAGTTTACTGTAGTTTACTTTAAAGCTTTAATTTATAGAAAATGTATATAAACTATAAACATAATACCAAACTAGACTGCCGCTTAGTGATATTTTTACATTGTATTGAACGTATTTAACTCCCCTTCCCATATAGTCGCTCCCTGTCACAATTAGAAAAAAAGGGATATGTAGTCTTATGTACACCCTGCAACAGTTTAGGAACCCAAATGTTTATTCACATCATCATGAATTGTACCCAATATTTGTAATTGATTGATTGTGATTTTATATTGCATATTCAGTGAGCTAATTGTAGTTGTAATCTTGAGTGATCGATCCACTGACAACAGATAGCAGGTTTGAAAAGACTGAACGATACATAATTCCGTTATAGTTATGTAAAAGCTCACCGGGTGAGGTAAATATTGTTCATAACACTAGACCTTCTTATGAGAAGTGCATTTTTGTAATTGAAAACAATCGTAAGATTAATAGGAATTTTATGCAAGGTACATGCCTTTGTCTTCACACCAGGTGAGTTTATGATGGAAACAGATCTCTCTACGCTATATGTATGTATGTATGTATGTATGTATGTATGTATGTATGTATGTATGTATGTGTCTGTGTGTGTGTGTGTGTGTGTGTCGCCTTTTTGTGAACGAACCATTCTGACGTAAACCCGTAGGTAGTATAGAAGAGTTACTTCCCTTAGTTTTTAAGAGTTAGTTCCCTTAGATACTTCTATTAGTGCATCTTAACAGCCGTGTTTTATCTTTACAATACAAAATAGTAATTGTGTCCATGTTATTTAGGAATGGTTTAGGTCTCCATCAACTGATATAAATATGTACGTTCCATGTAAACGCAAAGTACTCACCTCAGATGCACTCATATCAAGTGTAGATGGATTGGTGTGTAACGTTGAACCAATATCAAGTTCCACCCGGAGGGTATGGTTATAACGTCTCATGGATTGTTAATGGAGCACTTTCCCCCCGTTAATCGATATAAAAATACGACTGTTCAATATATACCGATGAGTGAGTGCGTGAGTGAGTTGGTTTTACGCCGCTTCTAGCAATATTCCAGCAATATCATGACGGGGGACACCAGAAATGGGCTTCACACATTGTACCCATGTCGGGATTCGAACCCGGGTCTTCGGCGTGACGAGCGAACGCTTTAACCACTAGGCTACCCGACCGCCCCATATACCGATGACAAAATGACTAAATGACATCACAGCTGTGAAGCAATACATGCAGTAAATAAGCGAATCGAAACTTACCTTGTGCATATAGTTTTATGACCACATTTAGTTGAACGTTGAACAACATTACAGGGTTTGGTTTGTTTGTTGTTTAACCCCGGACTGAGCAATATTCCAGCTATATGACGGCGGTCTGTAAATAATGGAGTCTGGACTATCATCGATCTATGCAATTGGGATACGATGACATGCATCAATCAAGTCAGCGAGTCTTACCACCCGATCCAGTTACTCGCCTCTTACGACAAGCATAGTCGCCTTTTACGGCAAGCATGGGTTGCTGAAGACCTATTCTACCCCGGATCTCCACGGGTCAGATTACATGGAGAGATCATGACTCGTTAAGCGAGATTACATGGAGTGATGAACGACATTACATGGAAAGAGGACGAAGTTCAACGTTGAACGCAGTGTTAAGAGGGGTTCAAGGTAGAGTCTACTTCAAGTGGAACCTGAAACGGAGTTTTTACATGGTTCAAAAATGTGCCAAATTGCTTTTCATTCCAATATATTTGTGCTGTCTACATAACATTTGCTACAACATAAACACTTAGATACAGGATATGCATGATTTGACAAACATTCAAAACGTTAAGAAATAGTTATTAAAGTCATCCAATATGTTGGTATGAATGGATTTATCACTGTTCATTTTGACACTTGCATGTTTTGAAGTTATAACAACAATAAAATTAATTTTAGAGCTTTCGGGGAAGCGTGTTTTCTGATATTTGAAAAGTCTTTGACACCAGCTGATTTTCTAAGGAGATGTAGATGAAAACAGTACAGATTTGTGGGTTCATTGTAAGGCCTTCTCTTGATCGGCGTTCTTTACACCTTTTAGCGCTATGTACGTATGCAATCATGTCAGATTAG